GTTTAAATAGAGTAAAGTTGGCTGACCTTATGTGGCCACCAGATGGCAGTCAAGCCCACCTTTTGACTCCATAAAAAATAATGTTTCTCAATCGTTGAGGTTCTGTGATATGACACATTGAAAGATACTGTCTGTGTTTGCAAATACAATAAGAAGAGATGGTTGCATTTAAGAGTAGACAAACTTAATTTGACTTTGACAGTGGCTACTGTTATAACACAAATAAAACACAAACTAAACATATATAAATGGCAGTGTAATCCTAAACATAACAGTTATCAATTGCTCAGTTTGGAATAAAATTGAAATAAATACACAATGTCAAATGTGTTGTGGGTTTTATATTTTTTATTCTTTGTGCAGAGTTGACATTTAAAATAAATATAAAAATATAAACTACTGTCATTCTTTTTTTTTTGCACTGTCCATCTATTGCGTTCAGCCTTAAAAAACTGGCTCCAGGTCATCTCGTTGACCATGCCCTGCGCCTTGCACAAAGAGAAAACTCTAGTGGGGCAGTAGATATATTTCCCTTGTACTCCAGGGAAGCAGGTGTGGACATGAGGGCTGTTAGGGCCTGAAAGAAATATTTAAATGCACAGAAAGTTGTATATTCTCTACCAAACATGTAGAAGAACCTATGTTAGCTTTGATAGAACTCAAAATATGATTATTTAGTCCATTTTGGGCTACTGTATAAACATTTATCCATGATATGATGTACTGTAATACATTATGCTATAATCCCTGCACAGCTCCACACAGTTTCCGTAGTGTAGTGGTTATCACGTTCGCCTAACACGCGAAAGGTCCCCGGTTCGAGACCGGGCGGAAACAACTTTATCCTTTTTGTTTAAACGTTTTACTGACTGTGGTTAAATGATCTTTATCTAAAGGTCCTATGATTCTGTCACTGTGTTATTATACACATGTTTACATGAATTATATGTTATGAGGGAACTATTGGYAGATATTTAATGTAGAGTAATCCTCATGATGTTTTCACTAGTTCATTTCATCTAAATTGTATGAATTGTAGTTTCCTTTACCCCAGAAAAGGCCCTTTATATTCAAATACTTTATATTTACCTCGAGTGGACCTTCTCTACGGAGGCCGCCATGTTTTTTTAACATTAGTCCAGACTGGACAAAATAAACACTTTTTGAGTTTCTATGACAAAAGGCATTCCACATGTTCTTTTTCACTTTTGGAAGGAGAGGGTGAGGTGAGGGATGTTCAGCTGCAACGTGCGATTTCAACACTAGATATCACTGAATTCTACACACTGCACCTTTAAAGTTGTGTTTGTATCAGCGGCCATTTTGTTTTAGAGCTGCTGCGTTCGAACCGAGCTGGTAAAAACAAACTAGGACTTTTTGAAGCTGACTTCATTCTGAGTAATAAAGAATTTAAATTTAATGTATTTCCAGCAAATGTTTCTTGCTGATATGTACTTTGATATTTTAGGAGTTTTACCTTATTACTCAGTAATAACCAGAGATTTTCTTACAAATTTGATAAAACGTTCACTCGGACTCGAGCATCAGTTCCAGATGTTACATCAACTCTCCGTCACATCATCCCTCAGACACACATTAACACTATAACACTACTACTACACTACTGTTGGAACTTTCTGTACCACTTTTCCTCCCACAGATCTCCACCGTTTCCGTAGTGTAGTGGTTATCACGTTCGCCTCACACGCGAAAGGTCCCCGGTTCGAAACCGGGCGGAAACAACTTTATCCTTTTTTAAAATTAATATTAATGTAATGTAATATTATACTGTATCATATAATGTAATATAATACTGTATAATATAATGTAACTTAATACTGTATAATGTAATGTAATGTTATTTGATATAATGTAAAGTAATGTAATACAGTATAATGTGATGTAATACAATATAATGTAATATAGCATAACACAATATAATTGTCTGTAATTTATTTTATTAAAGGTACAGTGTGTAGAATTTTTTGATATCTAGTGTTGAAATTGCATGTTGCAGCTGAACACCCCTCACCTCACCCTCTCCTTCCAAACATGAAAAAGAACCTGTGGGAGCTTCAGTTGTCATAAAAACTCAAAAGGTGTTTAGTCTGTCCAGTCTGGACTAATGTAAAAAACATGGCGGCCTGCATAGAGAGGGTCCGCTCGATGTAAATATAAAGTATTTGAATATAAAGGGTCTTTACTGTGGTGAAGAAAAATACAACTCATACAATTTAGATGAAACAAAATAGTAAAAACATCATGAGAATTATTCTACATTAAATTTCTGCCAATAGATCCCTGGCACCTAAATCTTACACACTAGACCTTTAAAGTATAATAATATAATATAATATAAAGAGAGGGAGCTACAGGTATATGCTACTGGTATATACAGAAAGTACTGGTACATACTGTATATATCAGTGCTGTCACAGTTACAGTCCAACTACATCACAGGTCATAATGTGGCCCCCAGTCCCCCGGCCCCTGACAACAGGTTCAAGAGCTTTGACAGCAAAGGACCAAGAAGCCATTTACACTGTTAACACAACACATTTCACTTTGTGTTTTCAAACCTGTGACAAGACCCCCCCCCCTCCCCCACATTGGACTACAAACATCCATTCATTACATTAATTAACACGAGTGACGATGATACAACACCATCAATACTTCCTCTAATTTATGACATGTATTGAACACCACTTACGATTGAGTTGTGTTGTTCAAACTTGACGATACAAACTTCTAAAAACGTCTTACTTTACGAAGTGGCTCTCCTTTGAATTCATAGGTGTGAAAATGGGTAAACAGCGCCCCCAAATTACACCTGGCACACAAGTGTTTTCAAACCTGCGACATTATAGAAGACAAGACCGCCCCTCCCCCACATTGGACAGCAAACATGAATTAATTAAATGTATTTCACACTAGTGACGATGATACAACACCAACAATACTTTCTCCTATTGATGATCATCAGTCACCAGGGGACTCACCCTCATCACCGCAGCACGTGTGAAGAAACTCTGCAGGAATCAACCCACACGCGGTCAACAGGTGCGAACTACCAATTACTGCTGTGCACCCGCTAACTGATCCGGTGAGAACATGACATCACAGCATCAGTTCCACCTGTGACACCGTCCCCCTGTATGTCCACAAAGAAGGTGACACACTACGTATTGACCGTCTCCCTCCTCACGGCTTCAGTAGTGTAGTATTCATCACGTTCGCCTCACAGTACAGTTGTACCACCACTGCACTAAGACACGTTAGCAAACAAAAGAAAGAAACTACTTCTTCTACTACAACTCAGAGAACAACTTGAAAAAACTTGTCCAAAAAGGCTGACACCACTGAGAGCCATGGAAGGACAACTTGAAGAAAACAGCTTGACTCACCATTGAGTTGTGTTGTTCGAACTTGACGATTAAAACTTCTACAAACTTTTTACTTTACGAAGTCGCCGCCGATGCTCTCCTTTGAATTCAGAGGTGTGAAAACGGGTGAACAGCGCCCCCAAATTACACCTGGTACACGAGTGGTCAAAAATATATTACATCCGTAGTGTTAACAAACTACCATAGAGAATGAGTGGGAAAAGTTAAGGAGCAGGGCTTCCGGTTCCGATTTCCGGAACAACAGCGCCCCCAAATTACACTCAGTGGCCAAAAATATATTACATCCGTAGTGTTAAGCACTACCATAGAGAATGAATGGGAAAAGTTAAGAGAGTTCAGGCGCGTGAAAGGTCCCCGGTTCGAAACCGAGCGGACACATCTTTTGATTTATTAAAATAACTTACAATCTACAATGTTTAAAATAAATTATCCATCCAACCGGTTTAGATTATTATAATTCTTTATAAAATAAAAACATAAGGATGTTTCTTACATCGTGTTCGTTCTCTTTATATCTTTTCCTCATCAGAACACTTGTCAAGTCAAGTCAACTATATKATCAATAATGCCATATGTGCAGGACATACAGGGAATTGAAATTACGTTTCCCTCTGTATTTCTCCAGGTTAGCTGAGAAGAAAGTTTATTTTTATATCTTTTTTTTAGCTTTTGTGTGTGTTTTTCATTTGATTTACGACCACTTGCTGTGTTGTCCATCTTAACTCACAGACTATAATTCACACGACTGCACCAGAACTCCAGCACATATAATTTGGACACATTGGAATTTTAATGAGCAGAACAAAACACAAACACACTCATACACTGTCCATTCATTCCTCATCAAAACTAAAAAGATTTAAAACCTTGTTGTTTTCTAATGCCTCCAGTGAAATGTCTCCTACATCTCAGCTATGACTGGAAGGACTGGGGCCTTGAATCTCCTGGACTGTCTGCATTTGATGCGACATCCAGACGCCCAGATGCACACAACGCCTTTCTGTCTTTCTGCTTTTCTGTAAACAGAGAATGCTCGTCCAGCTGTCTGTTTGAGTCCATCTCTCTCTATTGCTCCATCTGTCTGTTTTATTTCATCTGTCTTTTTTACTTCATCTGCAGGTTCCTCCGAGCTTGTCTCTCTGTTCTCGGCCGGCGTCCCACTAAGCCGTCCGCTCCTGGGGTCCTTCAAGCAAACCTCCACCTGGTTGGGATCTCCACCGGACTTGGGTGGACAGGTTTGATATGCTTGCAGAACGGAATGGGAAACTTGCTGCTCCTCCACCCATCCTCCGCGGACGAGTCGAGCTGCAGTGAGGAAAGAGTCAGTCTGTCGAGGCCCTGGTGTGGTTGGACTCCTACACAGGACAGGAGCCGTGGTCACTGGGATTCTGCCGTCCGCCATGTCTCCCTGTTGAAGTCTCCACCTCTCACTCTGGATAAACCTGTAATTTTACACCAGATTAAAGTAAAGAGATTAGAGGATATGACATCAGTGTGATTCTCAATCTAAGAAGATGCAAAAAATACTTTCACTTCTGTGGTTGTATTGCTATTTCTGTCACACTCTTATTTGTAGTTTAGAAGAAGAAGAAGAAGAATTACTCTTATTGTCACGTTAACACTTTTACATGCATACATGAAAGAGGTGAAAAAAAACAACAGTTCCTGGAAAACAGGATCTTTTCCCTCCTATGTTTAGTCATGGTTCAGTCTGAACTAACCTGAAGCTGCTGTTTAAAAGAAGAATGACTAACTGTGCCACCGAGCATTTCAATGACAGTAATATGTTTGTGTAAAAATATCCAAATATTTATTTAAATTTAATACTCCACAAAGATTCTTATCTCACGTTTACTTATTCACGTTTTTTGTGCTCTTGCGTTTCATTGTTAAGTGTAAGTGCATGTTCTCATTGTTGTTGAATTTCCACCAGCAGAACAATAAGCTGCTGAAATGACCTGAACAGTCTCATCAACCCCCAAAAGAAAACTGTGCCAATCATTAGAAGAAAGAAATAAAAAAGGAACCTGATGAAAGCTAACGTTCAGTCAAGCTAACGCATGTTTCTTCACCTCTAAATACACATGTACAGACACATGCAGCAGATCCACATGTAAACAACCACAGTCAAACACTTCAACATACATGAACACGAACACACAAAGTAAATGACCACAAATCTTTAGATTCAGTTCAAACCTGATTTCTGTCTTCTCTCCTCGTCCTCCTCTCAGGACCGACTGCTCCGTCTGTCCCCCTCACTCTCTCTTTTCCAATCTCCCCTCTCTCTCTTTCTCTCCCTCTCTCTCTCTCTCACACACACACACACACACACACACACACACACTTCAGCCCCCCTTATGAGCTTTACTTGGACAAAGTTCAACTCCTAACGTGGCCAAGCTTTTTTGTATAGAACCTGGCGATGAAATGTAATTTGAAAAGATGGAAAAAAGAAAACGTGCCAAATACTAACATCTGCACTGGTGTTAAAACTGAAGACAATGGAAACTGAAGAAAACAGTCGGTCTGTGCATCAATCTAATGCAAATACATTTTACACGGAAAAACTCCACATCCCCAAATCTAGGTCAGTTTACCAGCTTTTCTCAAGCTGTCAGCTGCTTCATGTGGTATTCATCAGCACATGGCTCAGTTGTTCTGGAGATGTATTTGCCCACATGTGAGTAGCAGCTGTTCTGCTTTAATCCACAGCACTTATAGAACCTCTTCTCCAGCCTAAAAACATATTTCCCTCCAGCAGCAGCAGCAGCAGCAGCAGCAGCAGCAGCAGCAGCAGCAGCTGTGTCTCTGTACTGTACCTGCCCTGCACCAAACTGCAGGCAGGAATGAAGAGAAAAAAGCCTGGCTGGTGAACTAAGTGGAGCATTAAGGAGCTAAAGCTGTTGGAGATAAAACAGAGCGACAGTGAAAACGAACAGAGCGTGCACAGCTCTACCAAGGCCCCACAGTCCCCTGAAATTCAACCCAGCCACTCCAAATTACACCCGCTCATAGACACCAGTCCTCTTAATGAGTCTGATTCATTCATCATGATCTCTGTATTATTAGCTCCACCAGGAGGTTCTGTTTTCATCTGCTTTATTTAGCTTGTGTGTAATTTCGCCAGATTACGCAAAAACTACAAAACGGATTATCACAAAGCTTGGTGGCAGATTACGGAATGGATCCAGGAATTCCTTTTCTCTTTCTTTAACATTGTGAGATTGATATCTATACGAGTGTGTGCACGTTGGTGCAGATCAAAAATAAAAACCTGGATCTAGTGAATTTAAATGTGGAGTCATGAGGGGACGATTCTGTAAAAACCTTTTAACACATGAAACCATTTCATTCAACCAAAGTTCTTGACCTGTTGCACAAAGTGAAACTATATAATAACTAGAATGTCATATCTCATACCTCCCGTGTTGCTCCGTGCAGATATCAAGTACATGTACATGTTTTCAAGGTTCAATCCAACACATGAAGATGATTTATGCTTTGTCAATTTGAATCTTTAATGTAAAAAAATCTATTGAGTATATCTTGAATATAAGATATATATAATATAAATGGGTGTTTTCTGGAGACAGGGTTGCTGCAGCTGCTTCATGCATTATTCGATGAAACTCTGTGTTATAATCTTGATTTATCTATATTTAGCTTTTGGTTAAACTCGAGCACCTCTGGGACAACCTGGACAGAACATCTTCACTGTATTGACAGGAGATGGACTGTAACCTCTGGGCTGCTGCTCTTCTGTTTGCTCTGAGTTCAGCAGGTTTATCGGCCCGATAGACACCAGTGTGTGTGTGTGTGTGTGTGTGTGTGGTTCAGTATGGGCCTCTCACACTCTTGTATGAAGAAATCTAATTTCACTGCAGAAAACCAGAAGTGGTCCTGTTATGTTATTAAAACTAAACAAGAAAACCTCTTTTTTGACTTGATAATTGAATAATTCTCTTAGAAATTGGTGAAAATGTGAAAAAAGTCAGATCTCTCTATCCAGATGTTAAAGAAAGTGAAACAATTTTCTGGATCCACTTTCACCAAGTTTTGTGGAAATCTTCAGGTATTTTTTGTGTGAAATTTATTACAAACAAAAGGACGAGGACGAAAATATAACCTAGAGTTAATAAAATAAAACTCTCTCTTCTGTTCATCATACCAACACGTTTGTAAAGAACTTTTACCGATGAAAAGTCTTTGCATATATTTTGCTTAAAGGCACAAGTCAGCAGAACGCCACTGTTGAAATCTCACATGCTCTCAACTATTCCAGATATTCAAGGATTTCACTAAATCATGTGATCAGTGTCCGCTACAAGCTGCTGTTCACATGCTGAGTCGCTGCTTTACAGAACTCTCTGGATCTGAGGTCACAGGGGAAACAATGGAGCTGGATCATGTTGGTTGGGGCCATGTTTGCTCAGTTTGTGCTGGCTCATGGAAGTCTGTGATCTGGGTCAGAGGTAATGGGAAAGCTGCAGAGGCACAGGCGTTATCCAAATATATATATATACAAATAATACCTTTGTCGGCAAAACCTGAATATTCCTTGTTGTCCAAAATCTATTTAAAGCAACATTGTGCAACATTTTAACCTTAAAATAGCAGCTTCAAAATGATTTTGATGTTTGAGTGACAGTGAATGTGGAGAATGTTTTCTCTTACATTCCCTGAACGTCTGTTCTGTGTAACTCCAGTGAATGGGTTCGAGCTCCTGAAGTGACTGAGAGTCACAACTTCAACTGTCAGATTCAGCTGCAGACAGTTGAAGAGTGAAGCTGAACTGTAGATCAGTTTAAAAAAACACTGAGATGTTATTAAGAACCAGAGTTTATCTCGAATATTCAGCAGGAAACTTTTTAAAATATGAAGAATTCTAAACAGAGTTTGGTGGATTTGTTACAGCTGCAGCTCTTCTGGTTCAGGAAGCAGAGGATCGTGGGTAATATCCAGCGTTCAGTTGTGTTTCAGTTCAGTGGGATGACACAGTCAGAGCTCAACACACTGACAGGCGTTGGAGTTGATACTAGTTGTGATGTATGTGTTGATATTCCAGTGGAAGCCACAGGCGTGAGGTCAGGTTATATATAGAGATTTTTGGGAATTTTCAGTACAGCTGAGAAAAAACATCTGCCTGCGAGCTGACTCAGCCTCCGCAGCTGAGTTCTGACCCCCTATCCAATCGAACGCAAAGTTTATCGTCCACATGATGTCAAGTGTCGCAACTAAGAGAAGTTCCATTTGAAGGCAGCATTAGCGCTAGCGGCCGATGGGGTCGTCTGACTCCATATGCAAACAACACCGCTTTTTGGAAATCGCATGAGGCCAAGTGTGAGCAGTTGTTGGCCTCACGTGAGTCCAACACGACACTGACACAAACTCAGATCTCTTCTCCACCGTTTGCTTTTTCATGCTTCTATAATTAAACCTGTTGCTTCAGGTCATCATCAGACAAACCTGAAGAAGCGGTTGTTCAACAAGTTGGCATTAATTATAGATGTATTGTCAATAAAATGAATTAAAATGTAAAAAGTCTAAGACCTCTGATAGATAAAATTTGAGTCTGTTCTTGCAAAGTTCATACTTTGTGCTTTGCCAAATATTCTTCAGCTGTTGTCATCTGGCCACCGATTACTCAAACTCTGATTCCTGGTCCGCTCACGGAAGATCGACAATCAGTTTTCAGCCAGAACAAACACAACGCTGTGTTCAGGTATTTCCAGTATGTCCTGTCAGAGTCTATTCACTGCAGTGATTAAAGTATTCCAGCGCGTCTTTATGACTGATCACACAAAGTATTTAATCACGCAACCTGCTTTCAGCTTTGTCTTTCAGCTGAGCAGGAATTCAGGGCAGTGCAGCCTCCAGCTTCTATAAGATCACATCAAACCTTTTTGTTTCCATTGAGCCTCTTTTGTGTTCCTGGAAGTTCAGAGGCAACACAGTTCTACATCTTTAAACTGGCTGCAGGAGCAAAGCAATTTCCCGGCTGTCAGTCTTTACCATCTGTCTGCTATTAATCTTATTTAAAACGTCCACACGAGCCCATTCTATCCTTCTCTAACATGCAGCTACAGTCTTTGCTGTGGTTTGTGGTTCACAGTCGCTGTTGTTGCTTCATTAAAAGGTTTCTGAAGTGTAATTGTTAAAAAATGGGAGTGGTTTATTTACCGATTTTCTAAAGGAGGGGACCCCTTTTTAATGTCAACCATCTGCTGCGTCATGTCCATCTGTGATATGACTTGTTGGTTGTGTGACTGGAACATCACAGGTTTGATCCCCGCTATTATTATGAGTATAAACAGTAGTTTATTTACCTTCAAATAGAGGCTCACGATCGACTATTACATCACCTCCAACAAAGATTCTTGGAAAAGATCTTTATCTGTAGATTCCGAGACATCATGTTCACAGTCAGACAAACACGAAAGAACGTCCTTCCTGGTTCAAGTAATGAAATGAAAAAAAGCAAGTTCGCTCTTCATGGGTCGGAGCAGAAGTCGGGTTGGAATTAGTTTAGTAGTTAGGGTCACTCTTTTTTAAATGTGGTATGAATTTGTTTATTTGAAGTTTTTGAAGTATTAAAGTTTTACAGATCTGACTGCAGCCTCACCAGCTCTGTTCACCAATATAAACTCAAACAAAGCCACAAAACAAGTGTCACATTATATTCTCTCATCACGTCAAGGCCCCGCCCTCGTCTTGATGCTCATTAAAGCTGTGAGATGTGAAAGACGTGCACGACGGACCAGTTTGTCCACTTTCTTCTCTCAGGCGTCCTGTTGGTATTTCTACACTGACAAATGACAGCTTCTCATTGCAGACAACAGCTGTGACGGGACCAACGACTCCGAGCTTCACAAACACTCACAGGTGAGACCACCTGGATCTCAACTCAACATCCAGCCTTTTGTTTCTCATAAGGTTTTAGAGTTTGGTGTTCTTTACAGCACAAATCGTGACTGTACTTTGTTTATTTCAAGGTAATACTAAGTACTCAGGATGTCCAAGTTGGTCATCAAGCAGCCGCAGCCTGTGATGGACTCCCAAGAGTCGGACGAGTGGGGATCGGGTATATGTGACTGCTGCCAGGACATACCTCAGTGTAAGTGTCTCAGAAGGTGTAACAAATAGAGTTAAAGGTTCAGTGTGTAGAATTTTGTAACATCGAGTGTTTAAATTGCATGTTGCAGCTGAACACCCCTCACCTCACCCTCTCCTTCCAAACATGAAAAAGAACCTGTGGTAGACTTTAATTGTCATAAAAACTCAAAAGGTGTTTAGTCTGTCCAGTCTGGACTAATGTAAAAAACATGGCAGCCTCCGTAGAGAGGGTCCCCTCCATGTCAATATAAAGTATTTGAATATAAAGGGTCTTTACTGGGGTGAAGAAAACTACAACTTGTACAATGATTGACAAGGATTATTCTACATTCAATTTCTGACAGTAGTTCCCTTTCACTTAAATCTTACACACTGGAGCTTTAACGTACGAGCCGTTAAAACATATTTACTTCCTTATATCTTAAAAATCTGTGTGTGTGTGTGTGTGTGTGTGTGTGTGTGTGTGTGTGTGTTTCAGGCTGTTTTGCTTTCTGGTGCTGTCCCTGCTTCGCCTGCCTCACCACCAAGAGCTACGGACAATGTCTCTGTCTCCCCCTGCTGGACGTCTTTGGCTTCATCCCGCCCATCACCATGTCCATGAGGGTTTCCATGCGGCAGCGATACGGCATCAAAGTGAGGACAAAACTTAAAGGTTTACTTTCACTCATTCTGGTGGATTGAAATTTCTTTAATATCAACCAGTCATCTGACAGTTTAATAGTTTCATGGGCAGAGAAGAGATCAGGACGGAGTTTAACCCCTCCTCTCTTATCATTTTACTCATTTCTTATTCTATATCCTGTTTTATATCAAGTTACTCATCAGCATTTATTAAATATTAATTAAGTGACATCTCCTTGTAAAACCAATGTGTTGATGTGTGCGTAAGAACTTAAATGGTTCTTAATGTTGACTTTAGCCAGATAACAATTAAAACTGATCCCCTCACAAGCTGCAGTTAACAAGTGTGACTGATGAAGTATCTAACTCACGGTTATTACATCAGAGGAAGCAGGTAGAAGCCGGAGAGTCTCCGCATCCTGTACGTTTTTGCAAACACAGAAAATCAGAAGGTCGCTCAGTATTCCAGTGAAAACATCACCTGGTTTGAAATAAGAACTGATCCTGAGTCATCTCTGTGTCGTCTCTGCAGGGAACCATGTGCATGGACTGCGTGTACGCGACCTTCTGCGTCAGCTGCTCCTGGTGTCAGATGTCCAGAGAGATGAAGAGGAGGAAAATCCAGGTCGTTCTGGTCGGAGCCAAAAACACATAACACACTCACACTCTTTGAAAAGGACGAGTGATTTAAAGTCCAGACTGAAAAAGTCCTGCAGTGAAAGTTTGCCTGAAATAATAAAGTTATTTAAGTTATTGTAAAAAAACCCTCTCACAGTGATGAAGTGAATGACAACAAGTAGCTTTTTAACTGATTCATGATCAGAGTCTTTCTACTGAGACTAAAACTGATTACTTATCATTTTGATTTACTTTAACCTTCAGAGAGAAATGACGCAGTTTGAGTCATAACACCAAGAGTCTTTTATATATGTTTTGTGTTTGTGCTTTATTTAAAAGATAGATTTATATTTTTTCAGATAAATTCACACGTTCATACTCATGCGTTGAAATATTAAGCCAGAAGATCAATTTCAAAACTTACACCAGAAATAATGATACAAACAGAGAATTTAGTATGAAATATACTCTAATTTTGGAAAATACCAACATGAATTTCAATTCATAATCATTTTTATCCCATATCTGTAAAATTCGGGAAAAATCCTTTTTGTCACCAGTGGACGATTCCACCAACAAGTAATTAACAAATTACATATTGATTATTAATTTACATATTAATTAAAGACCTGGAAATGAATCTCTTCTCCACCCTTTGGTTTTTCTTGCTTCTATAATCAAACCTGTTGCTTTAATTCATGATCAGACAAACCTGAAGAAGCTGTTATATTAGTTATTGATGTATTGCCAATAAAATGAATTAAAACGTCCAACGTATGCTCCTGTTTCTTTACGTATTCACCGATGATGAGAGTACATATATTTATACATCTAAAATACAAAAGGAACACTGCATATTAAACTTTAATAAGTTAAATACATATTTTTGTCCACTAGAGGAAGCCGTACTCTTCACCACAGCCCGTGATGTTTCAGGTTATGTGGGGTCACAGCGTCTCAGACCAGAGATGAAGTGTCTCACTTTGTTCTGTTTCTGTCCGAGGACAATCAATAATGATATTAATGATTAGGATAATAAATATAAATGAAAATAAGTTTCTCTACGTCAGATAATCTCTCCGTTTTTCTAATTTCTGTATTTTTCTTATGATTCAGCATCAGCAGTTTCCTGAAAGAGATCGACTTTATCAGTAATTATAATTATTTTACATTTCCATTCATCGACTATGAGAAACAATTATTCAGTCATTTTTTGTATTAAATGTGGAAAAAATACAGAAAATATTATTTTATTATTTACTTCAGTTGGGTTTAAATTGATTAGACAGAAACAAATAATTAAAACAATAATTCAAGGACTTTTCTTTACAATTTAAACCACATTTCAAAAAACTTCTTGGAATTTTTTGGGAAATTATTGACCCATATAGGACAAACACGTTTTACTGCCACGAATTACAAAGTGAACAGTATTGTTAATGTGTAAAACTATTTTTTTTAATCGCAATCATAATTTGGAAATTAAAAAGTCAAATGTTTCTATATATTTTTTGTCATTTCTTACTTTTCTTTATTTTTATTTAATTCGTTTTTCATTTCACTCTTAGCATTTTGTTCATTTCGCCTACTTACCTATACTCACCTGTACTCACCTGTACTCAGCTGTACTCACCTGTACTCAGCTGTACTCACTTGTACTCATGTGTACTCACCTGTACTCACCTGTACTCACATGTACTCACCTGTACTCAGCTGTACTCACCTGTACTCACCTGTATGTTGAGCTCTGATGTTTGCGGCTGCAAGTGATGAATTATTTTACGACTCTGAAGTGTCTTAGAGTTTTCCAGACAGTTTTTGCTTGTTGTTTTGGAGTTTGAATTTGCCTCCATACCAAAAAGTATATGAAGAATAGCTTGTAAATATTGTGGAGCAATAGTCAAGGTGGTGGAGATCAAAACAGAGCAAAAACATGTTGGTTATCGGACCTGCATTCCTCAGGTGGATCATTTGAAAACTTTTTCAGTGGAAGTTTTGTATCAGACGGCTTGTTTTGGGTTTTTCTGCCCCCTAAAGGCCGTAAATCAATAAATGACCACGTCTGCTCTGTGTGGTCAGCTACAAGACCTATTTGAATTTTTAATGAATTTAAAATTGATTGAGGACGGAGAGAATTAACCTCGTTTTCTGTTCCCCGGTTTCTCTGAGCTGCGGCGGAGGAGATCCCTCCTGTCCGCTGGCAAACGTGGCCCCGGTGTTCACTGTAAACTGCTCGTGGGTTGTTTTTAATAGGATTATAATGACAGTTATGGTTTGCAAGAATTGATGTTTGTGACTTTTACGAGGTGTGAGTGGAGGGGCGGGTCCCGGCGGCTCATAAAGGCCGCAGGAATGTTAATTGGTGGAGGCCACTGCTGCCCTCTTTGTTCTGCTCGCTCGTACAGGGCTTCTGTTGCGCCCGTTAAAAAGGCCAAAGCGCTGATTTAAAATCTGTGACTTTAACCCCGCACACACTCTGCAGCACCCCCCCCCCACACACACACACATATGTACAGATTGCATCCCACCCACAACACCCCACCCCCCCACACATACCCTCCCATTCTTTCTTCTGAGGTTTTCCTTCCCTCTCATGAAGAAAATGGAGCCTTTGCTTCCCTCATTTCCTCCATGTTGCTTAATCAGGTGGTCGGCGCTCTCCCCTCCCCGCTGAGTTTGATCCAGTGTTGGGGGAGTAATTTTATCACAGTTTTTTTTTTTTTTCCTGTTCTCCGGAGGCCACACGGACGGCTGCGCCAGACGACTCCGCACTGAGGTGAGGGGGAAAAACAAAAGATGATTTGTGTCCGTGATTGTGGTCGTTTATAATCGTTGGGAAATGTATTTCTGAACGTGTGGAAACTGAAGCAGCTTGATTGATTTTAAAGGACCGGTGGGCCTTGGTGGTTTTCAGATATTTAGTCAAAATCAATATTGGACACATTAAGACTTGGACTGTTCAGAGGAAACATGATGGTCTGCAGCAGGTTTTCAAAAATATCATTATCACATATTTGTTGAAGCAGTTGAATAAAAAATAAAAATCAGCAAAATATCAGGATTCATCCTCTGGGAGCCATGAATGTTATTTCAGTGAAGTATTACTTTCATAACTTGACTTTTAAAAGATGTTTTGGAGGCTTGGTTTAATAATTGTTTACGGTTCATTCGCACATTCAGGAGCTCATTTGATTGTTTTCACTTCATCTTCACATCAGCAGGACATTTGCAGAACAGAACTGTATTTGTCAGTTGACATTGTTAGAAAAGGTATTAACCTTATGAATCCAGCAGTGACAGAGTTTGAGATGGCGCTCAGAGGTCACGTGATGGATTTGAACCTGGAATCTGCCCGAGCGTCCCCCCGACAGTCCGGAGCACTTGACAGACAGAAACGCCGTCTATCTGCCCGAGTCTCTCCATAATTTCCTGGGGAAGTGTTCCTTTTAAAAGACAAGGCTGGAGCTGCCGGGGGAGTCGGGCGCTGATAACGGCCCAGGTTAAGATGAGGCGGGAGGGGGAGGCGTAGTCCGACACACGCTATCAGACGACGGGCCTCCGAGCAAACAAACAGCCCTGACCTCTCCAAACAACGGCAGCAGGGAGCAGCTGATAGGAGGGAGACGGATAGGTAGAGGTTGGTGATGGTGCAGCGAGTGTGTGTGTGTAAAGGGGAGGTAGAGATCAGGGGGCAAAGGTGCACGCAGGGCAGAAATGATCTGATCCCTCCGTGATCTTAGTGTCTCAGTGTCTATCAGAGGCCTGTGTGGGTGTGTGTGTGTGTTTCTGTGTGAGTGGTTCTTTACATTTTCTGCGTCACTGGGTCTTAAAGTGTGTTTTTATCCCAGAACACTCCCAACAGGCTGAGAGGTTGTGCGCCCTGACCTCTGGGGGGAGCTGACGTTCACGTGCGCAGCCACATCTTCACAGTTTTACAACCAATCAAGAAAACAAGTCACTTCTTCAAAAGTTTACTGAAAAAACGAAAATATCCAGTTCAAAAAAACATCTTTTGATTGGAGCTGGATCGACCAAACATGACGAAATGTTTGAAAACGAGAGATGAAGGTGGATTTTGTTTCCTGCGACCGAGCAGTAGAGAAATTCTAAATATATTGATATTTTTATGGCTCCACAGTTTTTAAAAACGTGCACCGGCCAATTTCTTCAGTTCGAGTGAGACACTGTGAAACTTTTTGATCTGGATTTTTATTTTATTTTGTTTTGTGAAGAACCTTGTAACTCTTGTTTTGAAAAGCACT